GGGATGAGCACGAAATACTGTAAATTAAATGCTGAATGGCGGTTCATGCAGGGAAAGAACATACCAATATTCGCATATTCATTCAAAAACATGAAAATTCTTAATGGAGTACCCTCATTTTTTATTGAATTCCTAAAAAACAATATTTATAATGAATTTTAATAAATTTTTCGAATTTTTTTTAAGTTTTATTCTGACCGATTCACCCGATTCCCGATCCGGATCGCCGATTCGTCGATCCGGATCGGTTTTTTGGACGCCCGATCCGGGTCACCGATCCGTTTTTTAAACCATTGGTTTAACCTAAAAGTATTTCTCCAATGCAACAACCCCAAAATGGAATATTTATGTCGCAATTTCCATTTGTAGGTCTCGTAGAGAGAGAGAGATCATTCCCTTAGTTTAATTTCAAAAGTAAAGATCCTATAAGACACAATTAGCAGTGTTTCTGGTAAAGTTTTAGAAGCTAAGGACTAGTGGTTTAAGAAAATAATTTGAGTTAATTAATCTTAAAAAATATATTAGAACCTAGCCTATGGAGAGAGAGACTTTGGGTACAAACAATTTCCTCCAATGTTATAGCCTAGTTACTTATTTATTTCTAGGTATGAATACTATGCTCCCTCAAAAGCACATTTTATCTCTACTCCTTTGATCACAATGCCTATTTGACTTATTTATTTTTGGAAGCCCGATCTACCAATTTGATCAGCAATCCAACCAGATCGAACCTATTATCGGGTGTGAGAATGAGCCGAAAAAATTAAATAATAATTTTAATTTTAAAATTTAAAATTGAGAAAATAATAAAAAATTAAAAGATGGAAATTGGGCAATTCGTTTGGATCGCCTAGCTCTAAAAATCAGTTGCGTCTATTAAAATCGGATTGATTCTTGGTTCCAGTTAGAAACCAAGTTGTTCTCTACCAATTTCTGATCCAGATCTATGATTTTTTAAAACGATAGTCCAAACTTTTCCGGCATCCATACATTTTAAAGTAGAATTTGATTTAGGCATTTCTGTGTTTTCACACATGTGTAATTTTTAGAAAATGCATAATATGAGACCATTTACTTTTCATACAAAAGTGATTGTTCACTAGATGTAAAATATGGTGGTTGGGGAATGCGCCAGTAACTAGTTACAAGGCCTGAACTAAAATATTTCAAATTGTGATGCATATACATCGGATATAAAATCCGATGGTATATGACTAATTGTGACCTTATACAAAAAGTGAATGGTCTTATGGTATATATTCCCTAATTTTTATGGATAAGCTTTTGGTGAGTTATGAGACCTGGGCTTGCTCTAGTTTTGGAACGTTTAAAAATCTGAAAATACATCTCGAAGCACAGCAAAATCATTTGTGCATGCGGTTAATAAATTTAAGGCTCCAAATATATCATAGGTCCCAATTATACTTATGATAGAAAAAATTTATAAGTTCTAAAAACAATGTGCAAATATTATAGTATTGAGGAATGGAAATTAACTGTCATAATGGACACAACAAGGGCCATTTTTAAGATTATTTTTTCTTTATTGTTCACATTTGTGATTGTGGTAGTCGAGATGATAGGCATGTAAAACTCAAAACATAAATTCTAGAAGTGTTCACATTTGTGATTGTGGTAGTCGATATGATAGGCATGTAAAACTCAAAACATAAATTTTAGAAGTGTGTACTACTACCGTAAGTATGTCTGAGACACCTAATTCTTATGTGTAAGTATCTATAAATGGTTGTGAATGAGCTACCAAAATGTCTAATATTAATTATGGAAAGTTGTTTCATGCGGGTTGGACTGCATTTCTACATATGCGGTCCAAAAAATGCAGAGCATCCATGCATCCATCTTAAAGATGGATGTAAGTAGATGTTCTATCTGAAAACCATGAAAACTAATGGTCCAAATATTTTCTTACCATAATTATTGTCTTAAATTTTAAAAATTTATTTATTTATTCATATTCATGATCTCCGTGTTAGATATTACATGTCCTTAAAAATGAAGTCTTAAAATCCATCTCATAAATAGATATAAAGAGGCCCACATTTCATGGGCACAGAAGCGAGGTTTCACATGTGTGGAAGTCCATCTTTAGATGCAGGCCTATTGTTTCAGGTTATTCTAGATGGAGTGTTGGTTGTGGTACGCAAGTGTCTATGTGGCATCATAAATGGATAGGAGATTATCTGTTGGTAGTGGCATTTCCTAATCTTTTTGGGTTGATAACTTAGTTGACAGTGACAATTCATGAAGCTTTAGAAATAAGAGGTTTGTAAGTTCTTGAAATATTTATGTATCTTATGGCAAACTAAGTAACCACCTATTTATCTCAATGGTGGTCTCTTATGAAAATGCTGGATAACACCTATGGTGCTGCTGATGCTGAGGACGAGATTATATAGGAGATTGAAAGTGATAGTGTTTTTTCGGTGAAATATTGTTATAATATTTTATTCCAATATAGGATTAGATGGTCTAACTCCAATGTTGCTGCTGTCTGAAAATGGCCTATACCACATAAGGTACAATGTTTCATTTGGCTTGCTTCTCTAAATAGGATTTTAACGGTTGATAAATTGATTAAAAGGGGAAAAATTTTATTTAATGTTTGGCTTTTGTGCAAATAAGATGGGGAAACGGTGCCACATCTTTGATCCATTGTTCTTTTACATCTCGTGTGTGGTCCTGGCTGTTCTCCACACTTGGGATACGTTTTGTCATGCCCCATTATGTAGAAGGTATTATCTCTCAGATGTCTTTAAGCTATTTGCTAGTAGGTGGGAAGGTCCTATGGAAGATTTCTAAAGGGGTTATCTTTTGAGAAATATGGAAGGAGAAGAATAGAAGAACCTTCGATGGGAGTTCATTGTCATTTGAAAAGCTCATAGGCAAAATTAAGCTATCCATTGGGATATAGCTATCAGTGACTAAGGAGGGTTGAGGTATTCCAATTGTGGATGTTTTGTCTAATCTTCACAATCTGTTTTCCCTTGGTATTTCTCGTCCCAGGCCGAAGAGCTTTTGTTTAGCACTTGACTTTGGGAGTGTTCAGCTAAATTTCGATGGAAGTTCTTTTGGTAATCTAGGTAAGGCTGGCATTGGTGGTGTTGTATGTGACTATATGGGCTGTGTTATTCTCTCCTTTGCTGTCGCGATAAGGTAAAAAACAACAAATGTTGTTGAATTGAGTGCTTTGTTGTGTGGTTTGAAAATTTTGTTTGAGAGGAACATTACTGGTAATGTCTGGATTGAAGGGGACTCCTTGAATATGATAAAAATGGCGCAAATTGGAACAGAAGATTTCGTGGGAATTGTGATCTTCGTGGTTACAAATAATGGATCTAGCTGGACCTTCTATTTCGTTCAATCATGTCTATCAGGAAGCCAACTCCATTGCCGATTCTTTGGCTAAAGGAGGTGCATCATTACTTTCGTTGTTGATTTGTTCTAATGTAATTTCTTCACTCAATCATTAATAATACTTTTGAACATTTGTCAAGAAAAAAAAAAGAGGCCCGCATTTCTACATATGCAAGATTGGCTGCATATAAACCGGGCCCATTAATTATAGTCCAACACGAACTAACCTAGTAACCTACGATATTGTTTTTAGCTCATTTATAGCTACCCACTCTAATACCGACAATATTATTGCCGGATCACTCCCAACTATCCGATCTTGATAAAATCATGTATAATTTTTATTTTTATTTTTAATGAACCATGTATATATAATTTAAGTGATATTTGCATAGAGACCCTTGTTCTCCTTGAGTTATACGTCGCGGTATTTTTTTCTCATTTTTGTTTGGATAGATCAATGGAAAAAAAATCTCCTACCATGATAAAAATGAAACTCAATAGATCATGTGGTGGCACCAACGGCCCTAACTTCGAGGCCCTAAAGTCCACACCCACACATCATTTTATGCCTACGTGCATTTAAAACATTATATTGTTGGCCATGTAAAATTAAATGAATACAATAAAAAAATAAGGGTTGGGCTGGGTTGAGTTAAGCCGAGGATGTCTTGGCCCGGTCCAGGCGTGACCCACATGGCACATTTACGGCAGAGACCCTAAATTTTAGAACCGAACCGACCGGGCCAGGGGCTCATTGCCAACCCTACATAAGCCATAATAAGCGTCTCCTAACTCTCCGTCCAATTATTTGCCTATCATCTACCCACCCACCAACCCTAACAGTGGAATATAAATCGCTAAATAACGCAAAATGAGCCCATTCCCATACTTAATCCTACTCTAAACCACCGCTAAATGCAGCATTAAGCAACCAATTTAAGTCTACCCCAGTCCCTAGGTGAGGGCCACCATCTCAAGTTCCCAACTTTACCTTCTGCACTCCCATGAGCCACAACTCCAAAAAGAAGAGAGAGAGAGAGAGAAGAAACGAGGCCTCTGGAGAGAGAAAAAGCTGTTATCTCAGCTTTAGAGAGAGAGAGAAGAGCTGTTATCTCAGCTTTTGTTTTGCTCAGGTAGACGGAGATTTCAGAGTGTCGACTCGGCTTCCCTAAGCTGCAATGGCGAGAAAGGGAGAACATATTTCAGCTGAGAGAGAGAGAAAAACAAGCCACCATTTCAACTTCTAGAGAGAGGGAGGCCACTGTTTCACCTGCTTAGCTTTCCCCTCAAGCCACACACCAGAAAGAGAACCACAATTACAGGGTCCTTTTTTCATCAGAGATCCAGCTCAAAAAAGAAGAGAGAGAGAGATAGGCATCATGAACTCATGGAAATGGCACCTCCTCATCCCACTCCTGTGTATCCTGCCCCAAATTTCAGTAACCCAACAACCCCAAATTTCAACCACCCAACCCTTCAACCCAACAACAACACCAACAACAGATGCCTCTGCAATCCCGGCATTCCCTGAACAATCCCAAATCTCCTCGTGCCCTCTTGACCTCCCCGATGACATCTCTGCCATCATCGCCACCGCCTGCGGCAGCATAACTGCGCAGGAAGACCGCCACCACCGGAACAGGTGCTGCCCTGTGCTTGCGGCCTCGCTGTATGCCGCACATGCAAGGACCGTCCTCCTGGGGGCGGAGCAGGCTCCGCCCAATGAGGGGAACATGCCCGTGCTGCCCGACGACTCGCGCACCTGCGTCGACGAGTTCGAGGGGCTGCTGAGGGCTAAGGGTGTAGAGGTAAAGGGACCAGACGAGAGCTGCGATGCAGTAATTTGTTACTGCGGGATAAGGCTTCACAATGGGCCGGGCAGCTGCCCCGAGTTGTTTCAGGAAGGTGGGCAGCTGACCGGACTGCCCGTGCTTGGGGAGATGGAGGAAGAGTGCAGGAGGCCCGGTGTCTCTGGTTGCAGTAGCTGCTTGAGGAGCTTGTATCAAGTAAGAAACAAATAGATTGTTTTTTTTTTTTTTAAAAAAAATCTGAAAATGGTGGCAATCTTTAAAAAAGAAAAGAAATGGAAGGCACATAAATAAAAAATTGAAGGATTAAAAAAAAAATCAGCACCTGAGAGTTTTTATGTAAAAAAATGTGTTTTTTTTCCATGGGGAAATCCTGAAATTTATGGCAAATTCATAACAAAAATAACAAAAAGTATGTGGTTTTTTTTTTGGGGGGATGAATACCCTGAAATTCATGGAAAATTCATAAAAATGAATGAAAAATTGTGTGGCCTTTCTTCAAGGGGGAAAACTCTGAAATTTATGGAAAATTCATGAGGTGCATAATCGATAAAAAAAAAATGGAAGAAAAGAATGGCAGAATTTGCGTGAAATTTTGATTTGATCCTCCCTCGATTGAAAAAATAAAAAATAAAAAAAATCATGGATTTCATGCTTGTTTTTTACTATGCATATTTTAATGAAGTTATTTTAGTGCATTTTGTGTTTGTATTTTTCCTCAATGGATTGAGATCGAGGGGTGCTTAGAAAATATGTTTATTGTGCTTTTTTTTTATATATATATTTCTTGGATCGCAGTTGAAAGGGAGTGAAGAGAGAGAAAGTGAATCAGAAGCATCATCAGATGAGAGAAAGAGAAGGATGAAGAGTAGAGACTGTGAATTGATGGGTCTCACATGGCTCCTTGCAAAGAATAAGACTGCTTATTTCCCCACTGTCACTGCTGTTTTCAGGGCTTTCATGGCCTCATCCGACGGCCAGGAACCTCTGTCTTGCAGGGAGGAGCAGCCCCTGGCCGTTGATTCTGTCCAGCTGGACCAGGCTTCCTCATCTCCTTCTTCCCATCAATATACCCTTTTCTCACTCTCTCTAAAACCAATTTCATATTGGGCTTTTGTCCTCTTGTTATGGAACTCATTTCATTGAATGCCACCCCCCCCAACTTTTGTAACTTTACAATCATAATTTCTGAATTTTCTCTCTCTCTAATGAAAAAACACTCCCTAAATGTGACCTTCTATCTTCTCTCTCTCTCTCTCTCT